AGAGAAAATTTGAGAAGTATAAAGCTTTCAACAATAATAACTTAACTTTTTTGCATCGGCTGTTCAAAAACTCTTGTATGTAAAGTTTTCTATGTAAAGTTCTCTTTTTACTATGAAATGTATGACATTTTTAATTTTTGAAGGGGTGACAGTTTTGTCTATATGTGCAATATTGAGTTGTCCCCCCCTAGGTTATATCTATCGCATTAAAAGTTGGTCGATTGACTATTTTTACTTTGCAGATCTTTAAGTTGGCCAATAATAATGCAAGATCGTGATCAAAAAAGTCAATTTTAAATTTTTTTTAATTTAAAAAAATGTCAACTACTGAAGAAAAACTTCAGAAGGCAGAAAAGGAGTATGAGGAAGTGAGGGATAAGTTGAATGAAAAAGAGAAGAGGTTGAATGAATTGAGGAGGGGTGCAGTAAAAGAAGATTATAATGGTGAAAAAGAGAATTTAGAAAAAAAGGTAAAGGAGTTGGAACAAGATAACTCTGATTGGAAGAAAGTATTGGCATGTTGAGAGGAATCATGGAAAGAAAATGAAATGAAAGGTAACAAACAAATAGCATTAAAAAAAAATATTCCATTTTGTTTATATACTGTATACAACTTTAACTGACTTATGTTTTTTCTTCAATACTTTGAACTTAAATTTTTTAAATTGTTTTCTTCACCCTGCCCAAAAAACACATTCACATTATCATAGAACAACTGGTTGCTGGTAAGTGATTCGATCTCATCTTTGTTGTATCATACTTATGTTCTGAACTGTAAAATTTTTTTGTTGTAATCACATTTGTTAAATTGTGCCTCATTTATTTGTTCTTATTATACAGAATTTCCCAGTAAGCAAATAAAAGTTGATGGTGAAGACCTGTTGGGCTTTTGGAATGCTTTAAGAACTACTACAATTGGTGAAAATGATGATTTTCTCAAACTGCCTGATAATATCCACTTTTTGGGGAAAAGTGATGAAGCTTCAATCTTATTTATTTGTAAATGTTATTGTGACCTGTTCAAGGTTGTTTTTAGCAATAATATGAGAAGATTGATTATCACTGGAAATCCAGGGATTGGAAAAACGTTTTTTAGTTACTATATACTTTATGAGCTCATGCAAAAAAACACAACAGTTATATATGACAAAGTTAATAACTTTCTGATTTTATTCAACAATAAAACTGTTGTTGTTGGTGAAAATCTATTCAGTTTTTATGATCATCTAAATAAACAAGATGTCTGGTATATTGTAGACAATAAAGAACCTCCAAATGTTAAAGCTAAGACAATTCTTGTCTGCTCACCAAAGAAGAATTACTATGTAGAAATTGATAAGTGTCCTTTAATAACAACATGGTATATGTCAACATGGGACAGAAGAAAGATTGATACATGCTGGGAAGAGATTTATAAAGACAAAGTCAATAAAAAAACGGTTGGTGATTTATTTTACAAGTGGGGAGGAATTCCTCAATTCATCTTGGAAAAAGCTAATGAAGCAACTCAGCTCAAAGAAGCAATTGTTGCATGTGATGAGAGTATACTTAGGGCTTCTATTGGCAGATCTGAAGCCAAACAAGATATAAGCCACAATCTTATTCACATCATGACAAATCCCCTGATTGAGGAGAGCAATAATTACAGTCTTGAAGGAAATGATGGTCTTGAAGAAGATGATGATGAAGTTGAATATGTTGAAGAGGAACCTTATATGCAAAAAATTATAAAATTTGCATCTGCATATGTGAGTGAAATAGTGATTAAGAATTTTGAAAGGACCATCATGAATAA